AGAGAGAGAGAGAGAGAGAGAGAGAGAGAGAGAGAGAGAGAGAGAGAGGGAGAGATGGGACACGTCTTGCAGCATGAACTATCAGGCGTGATCGATTGATCGAGAGAGATTGATCGACTGCAGTTGGCCGTTGGATGTGGTGAGTAGTTGGCCGGCGTCACGGGTAGGCCGTGAGATGTGGTGGGCACAGTGATTGGCATGCAATGTTCGACCGTCGACGCCTGAACGCCGCACCAAGATGGGAGATTCAGGTCAGTGGCCCCCCTTTCCCCCTGCCAAGAACCCCCTCCTCCTCCTCCGCCCCTCCCTCCCCAGCCTCCACTCCTCCCCCCCCGATCCGCTCCATCTGCTGCCTGTCTCTTATACACATCTAGATGTGTATAAGAGACCGCCCCTCCACTCCCCTCCTCCCTTCCGCCAGTGCTCCCCTCCACTCCCCTCCACCCGCTCCCCTCCTTCTGTGTTCCTTGCGCTCCCCTCTGCCAGCGCTCTGCTTCGCTCCCTTCAACCAGCCCACCCCTCGTCAGCGCTCTCCTCCTTCAGTGCACCCCTCCACCAGTGCTCCCCTCCACTCCCCTCCACTCCCCTCCACTCCCCTCCACTCCCCTCCCCAAGCGCTCCCGTCCACTTCCCTCCGGCCGCTCCCCTCCGCCTGTGCTCCGTGCGCTCCCCTGCGCTCCCCCCTTTCCTCCGCTGCTCTTCCACCTATCGGCTGCTCCTCCGGCCCTTCCCCCTCCTCCGTCGCTCCTACCCCCTCCTCCGCCGTTCTTCGCCCCCTGGCCGCTCCATCTCCGGCTATCCACCGCCCCTCCACCCCCTCCTCCGCCGCTCTTCGCACCAGTGCTCCCCTCCGCTCCCCTCCGCTCCCCTCCGCTCCCCTCCGTTCCCTCCGCTCCCCTCCGCTCCCTCCGTTCCCTCCGCCAGCGCACCCCTCTGCCAGCGCTCTCCTGCTCCAGCGCTCCCCTGCGCCTGCGCTCCTTTCCACTCCCCTCCGCCAGCACTTCCCTCCACCCGCTCTGCCACCACTTCCCCCCCCACCAGCGCACCTCCACCTGCGCTCCCCTGCAGTCCCCAGTGCCAGCGCCTGCCCCTCCGCCTGGCGCAGGAGTTATTCCTGCCTCCGCTAAAAAAATGGAAAAAATTTAGGCGCGCACTGAGAGAGAGAGAGAGAGAGAGAGAGAGAGAGAGAGAGAGAGAGAGAGAGAGAGAGAGTTTCCCGCCGCCATTGAAAGAAAACTCCACTGGGCACTCCCGGTCAATCAGTGGCTCACTCAGCAGAACCCACAGCATGTTTGACCTGGGGATGACCGCTGCCCAGCATGTCCCGCGGCGCCAACTGAGGATGTTACTCACTGCTTACTCTGCTGCCCGGAGGCAGACCTCATCTGAAGCCGCGTGTGGAGTTTTTTATCAGCCCTAACTGGCATGGCTTTCCCAGGTCAGCCTCAGGTACTGTTAACGGGGTTGTCCTCCCCACCCATGCCAGGGCCATACCAACGCCCTCTTTTCTCTGGGCTCCGTCCACTGGCGATCTGGTTCATCTGGAAAAGAAAGTGCACAGCAGCCCTCAGGAGCCTGCAACAGCACCCCCAGCAGTCATGGCTGGAGTTGCTGCAGCTGTTGGAGGCAGAGTACAGGACCGATTGGAAATGGATCCAGCATCAAACCAGGGCGAACCCGTTGGCAGCAGAGACCATAAGACAGAAGTTCTTGGACCAAGCTCTCGATCGGGGATTGATAGCCACCGTTTCAGGGTAAGACCTATGCATCCAGTTGGCCCGCGTTCCGCAAGACTCCCTTAAGAGGAAAGGGGAAGAGGAAAGTATGGAGAGTCCCTTCCCCCCCCCCCCCCCCCCCCCCCCCCGCCCTCGTCCTCACAGTCAGCCCGGGAAACACAGGGGAACTGGTTTTGGTGGGTGGGACTGGCGCTGCCACAGATAGGGCAGAGTGCCTTGCTGTGCCTGTTGTCCAAGCCTGACTGTATGGTTGGTGCTTGGACCGGACCTTCCGCGACCTGGACCAAGAGGTCCAGACCGGTCGACATACACCCTGGGGGTCTCCCGCGGGTGCTGGCGCCGTGCCGGATATGAAAAGACCGGATTGGCCCGAGCATAGGCAGGGGAGGATCTGGGGTTGAGTAGAAGTAGATACTCCCTCAGGTGGGGAACAAGCGGGGTTAGGGTTTGGGGTCTAGTGGGGGAGGATATGTCGAGCAGAAGCACATAGCCCCTCAGGCGGGGAACAAGCGGGGTTCGGGTTAGGGTTTACTGAGGGGGCCGGTTGGCATGCTGGCAAGGCCAGGGAACAAGGGTTGGGTAGGAGTCGTCAGGTAGGACTCAGCGCTCCGCTAGTCCTAGGCCTGCTTGAGTGGCTGACACAAGCGAAACTGGGTAAGGATCCCAGCAATTTGTTTCAGGCTTGATGTATCAGGGATGCTGGACCCGTTTTCCAGCAGGTGTTGCTCCCCACCAATAGATCGGAGCCAACTGCCAGAGCTGCTTGGTCCCCGTGGTGCTCTTACTGCCCTGGGACCGCAGGACGTCGCAGGATGTTTAAAAAAAGAAAAGAAAAAAAGAGTGAGCCATACAAACTTCCGATATTAGAAAAGAACTAAAAAAAAACAATTTGAGGTAGGTGGGTGATGGTGGGAGGAGGAGGAGGAAGCAGAAGCAGAAGAAGAAGAAGAAGAAGAAGAATAAGTGAGCCGTACAAATTTTCGAAATTAAAAGGGAAAAAATAAATCGAGGAAGGTGGGTGATGGTGGGAGGAGGAGGAGGAGGAGGAGGAAGAGGAAGAAGAAGAAGTGAGCCCTACGAATTTCCGAAATTAAAATGAAAAAAAAATCAAGGTAGGTGGGTGATGGTGGGAGAAAAAGAAGGAAGAAGAAGAAGAAGAAGAAGAAGAAGAAGAAGAAGAAGAAGAAGAAGAAGAAGAAGATGCGAGCCATATGAACTTCCGAAATTAAAAGAAAAAACAAATTTGAGGTAGGTGGGTGACGGTGGGAGGAGGAGGAGAAGAAGAAGAAGAAGAAGAAGCAGAAGAAGAAGAAGATGAAGAAGAAGAAGAAGAAGAAAAAGAAAAAGACGAAGTAGAACAAGAAGATGTGAGCCCTACGAATTTCCAAAATTACAAGAAAAAAAAATTGAGGTAGGTGGGTGACGGTGGGAGGAAGAAGAACAAGGAGAAGATGATGTGAGCCCTTGAAATTTCCGAAATTAAAAGAAAAAAGAAAAAAAAAATTCAAGGTAGGTGGGTGATGGCGGGAAGAAGAAGAAGAAGAAGAAGAAGAAGAAGAAGAAGATCTGAGCCCTACAAATTTCCGATTTCACAAAAAAGAAAATTAGTCGAAGTAAAGTTGGGTGATGATGGGAGAGGAGCAAGAAGAAGAAGAAGATGAAGAAGAAGAAATCCGAGATCTGAGCCCTACGAATTTGCAAATGAGGGGGAAAAAAAAACAAGTAAAGGTGGGTGATGGTGGGAAGAATATCTGCTCCTTACGAATTTCCGAATTGAAAAAGAAAAAACAAAGTAAGAAGAAGAAGAAGTCCAAGATCTGAGGCTTAAGAATTTCCAGAAAAGAGGTGGGTGATGGTGGAAGGAAGAGGAAGAAGAAGAGGAATTAGGGCTAAAGAATTTTTGAAAAGAAAAAGGGTAGGCAGGGGATTGTGCGAAGTAGAGAAAGAAGAAGAAGAAGAAGAAGAAGAAGAATCAGGGCAAACAAAATTTTGGGGGAAAAAATATCAGGGTAGGCGGGTGATGGTGGGAAGAAGAAGAAGAAGAAGAAGAAGAAGAAGAAGAAGAAGAAGAAGAAGAAAAATAAGAAGGGCTCATGAATTTTCGAAAAAAAAAAAACAGGTAGGCACGTGATGGTGGGAAGAAGGAGAAGAACTGTCTCTCTCCCTCTCTCCCTCTCTCCCTCTCTCGCTCTCTCTCACACACACACAGACACTGACCACAGCAGGAGGCGCTGAAAGGTGGAGCCTTGATTCGCCGACGGAGTGCAGGTTGCTCGAAGAAGAAGAAGACTGCCTATGGCCGGCAGGAACCTCCAGCATGTGCCGTCAGGCGAGTGGACTCCTCCACCTCACCTCCGCTCTCCCCAACCTCAAACTGCCACCCCATCTCCTCCACCCTGCCTTTATCTCCCATTTCCCCACCATGACTGCCTACAGTCTTCTCACCTCCACCGGGCACTGTTGGGAAGACATGGCTGCCCACTATGCTCCGGAGGAGAATGAGAAGGATGTTGGCAGCCACAGTCTTTTGTAGAATGTCGGCAGTAGAAAGCCGGCGTCAACGGTCGGCGGCCTCCAGGGCTGCGTTACGAACGGACGACCACCCTGGTACCACCCTCCACCCGAAAACCGGGGCCTTTCGGGGTGTGTGGGCCGCCGCGAAAAAGTGCGGCAGGCCGACGAATGCGACCATCCCCCAACCGGTCGGCCTAGAGCAGCCTACCGGTCGGCGTGTCGGCAGCCAACTGACCGGGGGGCTTCTGTTGTATGTACTGGATAGGGCTGAGAAGAGGGCTTTCATAATCAAGAGACTGCTGTCTGTTCTTCTATTGGCGTGATTTTATCCTTCTCAATTCTGCTGTCCTCTGGTCGAGTCATGCATGGTGATCAGTGCTTGGTCATGAATTGAGTTCTCACATGCAAGGTCCTTCCATACGCACATCTTTGTTTGTTCCAAGTGTTTGTTTTCTGTTGTTTTTTCTCTTTGTTTTCTCGCGGGTCCAAGCTGCAACTGATACTTCTAGTGGCCTTGACAGGCCAGCTACCTGTTTTTGGTCGTCTCGAAATGTTAACTGGTGTGACCATGTAACTCTTCTTGGTTGTTGATTTGAAGCTATGATTGTGGTGCCGAAGGAGGAAGGAAGAGTCAGTGGAGCAGCTGCTGTACCTGAGCGGCATCGCCATGATACTCACAAATCTGTTGAGGTTGGTGCTTCTGTCGTTTTCCGTAGCCATGCTTCCAGCAAGCCTCTGGTTTCCTGCTCATCATTTTTCTCATGCTAAATCGTGCTTGTGAAATCCATCCTGTTCTTTGTTTCTAGCTCATCCTCACTGCTCAATGGGTGGCATGGGGTCCCCTTCCGTTGGCCACCTTGGTCGTGCGCACTGGATATTGGTGAATGGATCAGGCACCCATCGGTGGAAGCAGACTTGTTAGTGGATTGGTGCCCGCAACTTCCTGCCTAGTTACGAGGGACTACATATACCCTCAGAAACAGACTTGATAGAGGATTGGCGGCCCCAAATCCTGTGTGGCTACTATTGAGTAGGTTTTGTTTTCCAAAGTGCCAGGTGCTGGACGAGCTGCTGCCGTACGCCGTCGAGATGGCAAGGAGAGGCTGCAAGGGCATCTACAACTTCACCAACCCCAAGCCCATCAGTCACAACGACATCCTCGAGTTGTACAGGGATTACATTCAAGTGGAAGAACTTCACGCTGCCACGTGGTGCAAATCCCCCCCCCCCCCCCCTTTTTTTTTTTGGGTTGCTTCTTCATCCTTCATCCTCTTCCTGTCTCCTCCTCCTTCCTTGTTCCTTGCCCCTTCCATCCTCCTTCCCCCTCCTTGTTCCTCCTTCCTGCTCCCCCTCCTCGTTCCTCGTTCCTCCTCCTCCTGTTACCTCCTCCTTCATCCTCCCTCCCCTTCTTCTCCTCCATCATCATCCTTCCTTTGTACTTCTCTTTCCTTCTCCCACCTCTCTCCTTCACCTTCTTCCTCCCACTTCATCCTCCTCCTGCCTCCTCCAGTCCTTACTTGTTCATCCGCCCCCTCCTCCTTTGTCCTTTCCTCCTCCTCATTCCTCTTCTGACCCCTCCTCGTCTTACTTCCACCTCACCTTTCCCGTGCACCACACTGTGCAAGTTCTTTTCTGTATTATGATCCTGGCCAATTTCGAAGTACACATTCATGAGAAAGTACAATGCCGTCCAATTGCAAAAAGAAATGAATGAACTTGAGAGGAGAAAGCGGGAAAGAAGAAGAAGAAGAAGATGTACACCAGCAAAGATCAATGATAATTCCCTCTTCTTCGCCAATGCGAGGAATGAGCCCTTGTGGGGCCCTTGTCAAGCATGCACATGTTCTGGGCAGAGGCCCCCAGCAAGCCAAGTGCCCGCCCTAAGTGAAGGCGGGCCTGAATATTCACTAAAGGCCAAAATCCCACATTTTGCATATGTGGGTACTCAGGCTATTGCCGCCCGCCAGTTGGTTGAGTGGACGCGTGAACCTCCCTAAGCTGCATCGTACAGTTTGGCCCAGGCCTTGGCTGTTGCGCCTGGGCACATACACACAATGCAGGGCCGATGCATCACGAAGTGGCCACAAGCCTATGCAAAAGCAGCACTGTCGACATACATACCCCGGGTCCTGTGGAAATGCAGCAATCGGCCCAAGTCTGGAGACTCAGGCCGTGCCCAACTGTAAATGGCCCAGGCCCTCAACTGTAGCACTGGGCGTGAGTGCAGGCACTGGGGCCCAACCGGAAGCTACTGGAAGCTTCCAGCCAGGCCACACGCAGCCAAGCAGAGGCTGCCACTTCCATGTAGGAAGGAAGGCAGCCAGGGTCTGGCATTCTGGCCGATGCAGACAATGTGGTCACACTGCATGCTGCGTTGCTGCGCAAGACGCTGCATGCTGCGTTAGCGGCCAGGGCGCGTGCGGGCGCTTGTGACGTGAAGAGGGGCGCTGCTGGGCTGCAGGGCGCTAGGGGGTCAGAGGGCGATTGGTGGTCTTCAGGAAGGAGGCGAGTGTGGGTGGTCAGGGTCTGATGAGGGGAGACGAGATACGTACCTGGTACATGAAGAGAGGCCGGCTATGGTGTTGATGCCATGTACATTGGTCTTCAAGAGTTGAAGTGAGCATGTTGCGTGAATGCGGATGTGGGTAGGATAGGCGAGTAGTGTAGGCTGGGCGTTGGGCGCCAGACAGAGAGGAGCGACTTTGGATATTGTGTTGGTGTGGCCCGAGGGCTTGAACATTGGCTCATTACTTCATTGTATTGCCCTTATTTGGATGGAATCTCGGTGCATTTGTGCTCTCTGCTTGTACACGACTACTTGGACATCTGTGTGATTTCGCAACTTGGCTTTCTGTATATCGTTCCCACTCATATTCCTTTCAGTTTGGTATCGGAGCTGGTTCGAGATCGCCGCTTACCTGGCGCTGGCGACATTGCTTCTCGGTGCGTTGACGATTCTTCTGTGCAGTAAGGATACTTCAGCGCTGGCTTGAAATAGCGGGGCCCAGGTAGAGGGGCCGGCTGCTGGAAGACTGTGGCGACAGCATGGGAGCTGTGGCGACATTGGATGTATGTATGATGATGAGAGCATGCCGATGTGGTGTTTTGGCTGAGGTGGCACTGCATTGCGTTGTGGGTGGTTCCGAGGCTATGACCGGTCATCGAAATGCATGTCGGCTCAATTGGTGAGAAATTTGTGGTTGGGGGCAGCTATCTCCAGGTACGTTGTTCGCTTACCTTATCTACGCTCTTAATCTCTTCTTACCGTGAGGAAATGAGTCCAACCTTGAGTGTCCTTTCTTTGGTGTGAGGAGTCGTGAGCGCTCTACCTTGAGAGACAACATTCTTCCCGGTGGCACATCTGGCAGGAGAGGGCGGTGCCTCTGAAGGACCCTGGTCGGAGCACGGGTCACGGTCACCATGCCAACCCATGGTAGTAGAACACGCAGGCGATGCTGCTTTGTCCTTTAAGGCTCTTTGCTGCGCCGATAGAAGGGGTGTGCGGACTGACCAGTCCTTTGTAGACGCTATCCAGACCGTCTATAAACATTTCTGGTGGGTGTCTGATCTGTCCACTGGCTGTGATCGTCGTCCTGATTGCGACATTAAATAATTTATGAGGACCTTGGGGGCTGTCCTTAAACTGCCTCTTGATCAGCCAGATCAATCAGACGTAAGGCTCGTTGCACGCGAGGGTAAAGAACGGGCAGTGCTGATCATAAGCGTATACCTTGGGCACAGCGGTGGGGCGCTAATGCACACATTAGACATTGCCGCTTGATGATGCCTACAGGCACGTTGGATACAGGGGAGGAAGATTCCAATTGAGACTCAACTGTCAGACACAAGTATACCCATTGTGCATACATCTGCTCACTTAGTCTATTTTTATTTTGATTAGTTGGTTGACAGACGGCTAACGCCTCACAGACAGCCTAGAGTAGGACTGTAATGTTCTACCATAGTCAGTTCGTTCTTCTCAAAGCTTCTGTAAGAGAACTAATCAGAGTAGGTTTAGACTATGTGTTCGGTCTGTGTAAATGCTGTTGATATCGCTTGAACGGTAGTCTAGGTCAATCGCTGGATATCTATTTTAATTTTATTTATTTTTAGAGCCGGTCAAACGCATGCTGTGGTAGGTTCCATAGTGGACTCAGTGCAGATAGTGTCTGCCTAGCTGATGAGTGGATCGGAAGGTGATGAAAGTACAATTGACAACTGAAGGCAAACTAGGCGTGATACGCGTAAAACACCTGTAGTGTTCCTGTTCCTGCCACCAGGAGAAGAAAGAAGGTTGAGGGCCGAAGCAAGGCCCGGTAATCTTGAGACTGCGAGGGAAGCTGCAGCAGCCGTAGAGAGGACATTAGCAGCAGCAGCAGCAGCAGCAGCAGCTAGCGCTGTAGCGATGACTACATCTGTGGCAACATCTGTGGCAACCTCGTTCGATTTTCTGTTTGGAATGTCGGACACAAGCAGTCAGTCCATCTCCAGTACAACATGGTCTGGAACCAATCAGATGGCGGGTTTGTAGTCCAGCTCGCCGCCTCCACGCACCAGGGAGCAGATGGAGCTCCAACAAGTAGAGAGGATCCGCTTAAGGCTAGAGGAGGAATTTAAAAATACTACTGAAAGAGAGAATGAGATTAGGAATAGAAGTGTCAGACTTGAGGGTAGGGCGACAGATAAAGCTGCTTTAGAGGGGTTGGATGACTTTGCACTGGACAATAACATGAAGATAGTCAAGGTGAGCATCCTGTCCATGCATGCATACATGGACAGCAAACTGGACGCTATCCAGGACACCCTAGACCAGATCCTGAATGCCATGCACAGGCCAGGAGTCAGGCCAGCAGTTCTGCCATCGCTGCCATTCTCGGCGATGACAAGTCCGTATCCGCCTCAGTCTAGTACCATACCAAGCGGTACTTTAGCAACAACTTTATCTCAGACTGTTGCTTCTTCATCTTCTGGTGCAGCGGCTGGTGCTACACCTCAGCCGCCACCTGTCTGACCAATGGGACAACAACAACCATGGTACCCCAAAACCCCATTGAAACCGCCCTCCACTTTCTCAGGTGATAAGAAGGAGGAGGCTCTCGGCACCTGGTTGAGAATGGTTCCAAGGGCGAAGAGGACGCTGGAAGAGGACGAAGTGATAACTGCTGCATCCTACTTAGAGGGATCAGCAGCTTGTTGGCTAAAAGGGTTTAGTAGTATCGAAGGGATTCGGCAGGAATATGGGTGACTGGGCTAAGACCCATACCCTGGAGAGCTTTATGGACTTGGTGGAAGTGCGATGGCACAACCCACAACAGGCACATATTGCTGCTGATGGGTTGTTGATACTTGATGCAAAGAAGTACAAATCCGTGCGCGAACTCACCTCTATCGTAGAGCGTTTGATTGTCGTCCCTGGGGTACAATATAATCCACAGGTCTTGTTGACCATGTTCTCGAGGTGTCTTCCCATAGACATCAAGAACTTGCTAGCCAGCAAGGCTTGGCTAGAGTATCACACGTTTGAGACCTTTAGCAAGAAGACCTTAGATTTGGAGGCTACGCTAGGAGGTGCTCAGATGCCCTCTACTGACGAAAGAAAGAAGAAGGTCCACAAGAGTGGAAGAAGAAGGGGAGTCGATTGATGATGGTCGAGCCCGATGGTACTCAGACCGAGATCAAGGATTTCTCAG